GGGGAACCGATTACAAGAATCTATGTATAGCCTCCTCCCTGGGGGGTGGACAGAGAGAAGAGGGCGGGGGAGACATCGGACAGTGTAACATATGACAAAATAATAATAATTTATGAATTATGAAGGGTTCATGAGGGAGGGGGGAGTGGGAAGGGAGGGGAAAAATAAGGAGCCCATATTATGGGCTCAAGTAGAAGGCAAAGGTTTTGAGAATCATGACAGCAACAGATGTGCATATGTGCTTGACACAATGGAGGTATGTATGGATTGTGATGAGAATTGTACGAGCCCCCAATAAGACGATTTCTAAAAAATAAATAAATAAAAAGAGAAGGATAGTGAGAGGACTCAAAACTCATGACAAAATGCTAACGAAAACTAACATTTAACTTGCTGGACATTCTGTGCAATTATACTAAATAAAACCAAAACCAAATGTACTTCCATCAGGTCGATTTAAACTCATAGTAACCCTTGGTGAGATAAACCCTACAGCAAACAACACTATGTAAATTACTCCTTTGGTCTCCAAGACCGTAAATCTTTTTTTTTTTTAAATCAATTTATTGGGGCTCATAAAATTCATCACAATACATAGATCAATTGTGTAGAGCACATCTATACATTTGTTGCCCTCATCATTCCCAAAATTCGCTTGTCTCTTGGGTTCCCGGAATCTCACCGTAAATCTTATGGGCGCAAACAACTTCAGCATTTGCCTATGGAGTGACTGGTGGAGTTTGAACCATTGAACTCAATCTTAGCAGCCCCAATGCCTAATCCACAGGACTACCAGGGATCCTTGTAATGAAAATAGTAATAATTTATTAAGGAGCTACTATTGCATTGTGAAGCTCAATCAATCCTGCTACAGCCATATAAGGTGAGCATTGTTACCTTCCCTCTTCCTTTCATTACTGACAATTGTCGCTCAGTGACGTAAAGCAGCATGTCTAAACTCTTACAGCTAGTAGGGACCAGTCCAATATTGACAAAAGGCTCTGACCCTTTGTCAGTAAGCTCAGACCCAGCCTGTGTGTCCTCACAAGATGGAATGAAATGAATGTACATTTTGGGGGAAGGTATATATTAGTTATTAGAAAAAGATTTGTTACAGTGTTTTACTAGTCTCTAGAAGATTCTGTAACATTTTAGTGCTGAAATTATACCCTTTAATGCAAAAGGATAAAAATATACTGAGCATGACAAAATAACCTATGATTAGTACAGTTTATCTATGAGTTAATCTGTATTCAAGACAAATGCCTAAAATAATATTGAATTAAATGTTCCCTCTTTGCGCATCCCTTTCCCTGCTACCAGAGAGGGCAGATAGATTTCTATGACTGATTGATGGTATTTACTTCTGATGGTTATGATAGAGAATATATATATGTACACAAATATGCATATTATAGCATTGGAGACTATTTCATAATTCATTTTAACTTTACAGAAAGCAAAGAAAACAAACAAAATCTGATGCCTCAGTGATTCAAACATTAATTGCAAATGTGTAATCACCTGTGGACTTAGTACATGGTGTTGAACATCTTAAATGCATGCATGTTCTTCAAAAACTTTGCTGGAGGTCTGTTTCTATTTCTGACTTCTCTGTGGATCCTCCTGGAATTTCTACCCTAGACAAAAAGAATGAAATACTATACATTTAGTTTAGTTTTGACATTCTTTCCAAAAGCACTTGTCCATGAAGGAATCAGGTGGTTAAACACGCGTGCACACACACGAATTAAACAATTACCAAATAATTACAAAATCTCCAGGAGATTTAAGATGTGGAAGAGTCACCTTAACTTTAGTTGACTTTCCTGGATGCCCACCCTCCCACTCACCTAAACTGGAAACAGTGATGCTCTTTTTTAAAAATCATTTTATTGGGGGCTCATTCAATTCTTATCACAATCCATACATACATCCATTGTGTCAAGCACATTTGTACATTTGTTGCCATCATCATTCTCAAAACATTTTCCTTCTACTTGCACCCTTAATATCGGCTGCTCATTTTCCCCCTCCCTCCCCCCTCCCCACTCCCTCATGAACCCTTCATAGTTCATAAAGATTCAAAGAGAGCTCCAAACCCAGGGGTAAAAAACAGGGAATGAGGAGAGAGGAGAGCGGATTTCTTTTGTTTCTCATCTTTTTTGTTTTCCTTTTTTTCTTTTCCAGGAAAAAGGTCCCTCTTGTTTTAGATAGGTTTGGGAGTGTTGGAGACTCTCTTTTAGTGATCTGGGGGGGAAATAGGATTGCTTGTTCTGTATCTGTGGGAGAGGGAGGCAAGCAGGTCAACAGGAGAGGTTTGGGAGCAGTCCTTTATGATTAGAGTAGGCAATTTGGACGGAAGGAATAGCCTTGGGGTGGAAAGATAGTAAGGGCTACCTCTGTCCACTTGTCTTTCCGGTCATGGCAGAGATTGTGAGAGAGAGGGCCTTTTGCTCTGAAGTCGATTCTGACATAGAGAGACGCTATGGGACCGAGCAGACCAGCCCCATAGGATGTCCAAGTCTGTAAATCTTTTTGGAAACTACCGCCACATATTTCTCCAGCAGAGTGGCTGGTGGGTTGGAACCGGGTACCTGGTGGGCACCTAGCACTTAGTCGCTGCGCCACCAGGACTCCGTAGAAAAAGAAAACGACGCCGGAGAATAGAATGATGCCGGCCTCTTTCTTGAGTTTTACCGCTGCCAAAAGCTAACTCTCTGCCTGCCTCCCTCCCCACCTCTTCCTCTACTTCCTCTCAGCTGCCTGCCCCTCCGGAGACAGCCCGGTGCCAGTGGGAAGACGCGCTCCTCTGATAGCTTTGCGCACCACCCACCCCAGCTCCCTCCTCCTTCCGACCTCCAGCCCCGGTCCCTCCAGTGCCTCCCTCCCCTGCTCCAGCGGTGAGGGGCTGGGGTTAAGTGTCTGGACTACGAGGGTGGGAGTGGGCTCCAGGCAGAAGATCATGCCAGACGCTCCGCGCTCCCCTCCTGCCTGACGCTCCCCCTCCCTCCATCAGGGCTGCTCTTGGTAAGAAATCACCAGAGCAGTGGCAGCGGCCAGGAGAGCCGCAGAGGCGGTGGAACCTGAAAAGTCCCGGGGCTCAGGGCTACCTCCCAACGTGGTCCCCAGCGGGCCTTCAGCACCATGGACAGCCGCGTCCCCGCCAACTCCAGCAATTGCTCGGATGCCTTCCCGCGCTTGGCAAGTTGCAACCCAGCACAGAGCCTCAGGTCCTGGGTCAACTTATCCCACCTCGATGGCAACGCGTCCGACCCGTGCGGTCCGAACCGCACCGCGCTGGACGGGAGCGACAGCTTGTGCTCTCCGGCCGGGAGCCCTTCCATGGTCACGGCCGTCACCATCATGGCCCTCTACTCCATCGTGTGCGTGGTGGGTCTCTTCGGAAACTTCCTGGTCATGTATGTCATTATCAGGTAAGGAAGGTGGCGGCCTGACTGGAGTGGCACCCTCAGGAGCCCACAGAGGCAAGGAGGGTGCCCAAGCTTGGAGTCAAGACTGTTTGGCGGGAGCGGGTTGTAAACAATGGAGATGGGTAACAGCTATGAATACAGATGCTGTAGTGGTGGGGCTTGGGGGGAGATACTTTTCTGTTTTCCCTCTAGATAAAGAATCCAGAATTTCACGAAGTGAGAGGTTGCTGTGGTAAAAATACCTGTGTGTGTGTGTGTGTGTGTGTGTGTGTACACGCGCGCAGGTCCTACCCTACAACTTCTGCTTCCACTGAGCAACCAGGGTTCTGGGGCAGACAGTGCTACCTTGCATGTGGATGTGCCAGGACTCAAGACCTGTAGAATAATGGGACAGGAGTTCTGGAGTTCTGGTTGGTTTCCTTTCATGGGTGGTCTGGTGCTTTTAGGAGTAGATCCCTGGTACTTCCCTGCTCTTGCTGGCTGAAGAATACTTCTCTGGTCCCTGGTGCACCTCCCAGGCCCTTCCCTTCTCCCTAGTCCTGCTCTTGCTGTTCTGCAAATCCTGAGGCCACTCTTAAAGAGGAATTGTCTCCAGTTTCTGACTTCTGGTGGTGGTGTGTGGTTGTAACAAACACAACTGTCTTTTCCCTCCTAGACCAATTTGCAGCTGGAGGCAAATGCAGCTGTGTCAAAGGGGGGTTGGGGTGGGGGGGGCGACTGAAATTTGGAATAAGGAGGATGGTCCAGGAGACCAGCAGGAAATAACCACTGTCCTTCCATGTCTCTAAGAGTTGAAACCAATTACAAGTGTGGGGGCGGGGGAGCTGAGCGGGGGAGGGGGGCGGCGGGGGCATGCAGCATTAGTCTGCATTATAAATTACTATATAGGAAGTGGTGATGGGTACGCAGGAGAAAAGTCTTTCTCCGGTGAAATTATTTTCAAAGGACTTCCTGTTTATCCCGACGCTCTGGGTTTGTTTGCCAGAGTGTGCCAGCGCTTAATGTTAATGAAGATGGATGTAGAACGAGTTGAAATTGATGTAGACATTCAGGACCTAAATGTGAATATTAAAATATTATAGCTAAGGAGTTGATATTCTTGTTTAGTGTAAATAGTTCAACACTTTAAAATGACTCCTAGTTTGGGGTTTGCTCCCTACTAAGGTTTGCATCTATAGTTAGCATGGTATTTTCATATTTAGTTACTGTTTGCTTCACCTTGTCGGTAAGAATTGCAGCTCTTTAATCTCTTAACATGCATTCTCTCCATTATGCTTCTATTACCAAGATGCTCAAATTGCTGGCAATCTATTCTTTCTACTTACATGTTTGATTTCTTTAATTAATGATTGTTGAAGAGCAAAACTAATTTCCTTGATCTTTGGACTAGGAAGCTATGGAAGTACTGTCCCTGAGAAAAGAGCGCCATCTATTGAGAGAAAGACTAACAACAGAAGGAGCAGATGAAGGGAGAGACTCATTGAAGAATTTATTTTTAAAAACATGTACTTTATGTAATCCAATGCAAAGATTGGTACCAATGATACAAATGAATCATCCTTCTGTGATGCTAATAAAAAGCATAATTAAAGGCCCACATTGTTAAGTGAAAATGTTTCCTATTTTGCTTAAGAAAATCCTTAAGACAATAAACTAATGAAGCAAGAAGCGTCTCTAAAGACAATGCTTCATAAATGAGTACACAGAAGCCCTGAGATTGTGAAGACAGGTAGGTCATTAGTTTGGTAGCACTGAATCTTGCATAGCCAGTATAATTTTTTGCTTACCTGAGTGGCAAATCATGGTTTGATTTACATTCAACCATTCAATTGGCAGGATGGATTTAATGGGTAGCAATAACACATGCATAACTAATGGCCACTTCACTCCCCAATATAGCTAGAACCCTGAAGGGGGGGAATTGCACTACAGAGAAATTATCAAAACATTTTGAAATCCAGCCATCGGAAACATAATTGTTTATTTCCTGATACCATTTCCTTTTACGATTTTCTTTCCTCCTTTTTTCTCCACTCGTCTTTCTGCTCTCCTATAAAAGGAGAGTCCTTAGATAAGCAACTGGCTGTGGGAAAAAGAGATTTGTCTTACTGCAGTGTTTACAAGGTTGCTGGTTGGTGGCTCTGTTTTAAAGGCATTACCACTGCCCACTTGCTGGCTTAGAGAAGCTTGGTGATGTTGCATCTTACTGGGAACATGATACAGTGCTTCACTTCTCCGTACAGAAAGTTCTAACAAAATGCAGTACTCTTGGAAAGGTCACCCCCAACCTCGGGCAGTTCAGATGGTTGATTGCAAGGTCAGGTAGCATTCTGGGAGCTTGCCTGTGAAACATAAAAGCGGTTCAGTGACACATGAAAGTGATAGACAATGTATGGGGGAGGTTGGAGGAAGTCTTTGTAGTTAGCTGACCATATTTAACTGAAATGTGATATTCTGAGCTTAGGGATATCAGTTTCTGTGCTGCAAACATAGGTTTGATGGTGCTTCTCTTGAAGTATTGAGGTAAAATCCTCACATACTGGTACTAATTAAAACTCAACAAATACTTTTGAATGCTCAAGTCATGACCACTTTTCTGATCAGATGAAGGTACTATGTATTATATTAGAATGTTTTAGTACATCATGAAACTTAGATGACAACAATAGCAAAAATAACAGCTGGTAATAGAGCGGGGGTGATTAACACTTTTCTGCGTGTCCTATGCTATCATCATCATCATTGTACCTTCTTCAATAGCATTACTAAATCTCTTTCCTTCATGGCCAGAGTCAATGTCAACCCAAAGGAGAGAGTAGACCAGCACGGTGGGTTTTCAGGACTGCAAATCTCTACAGTAACAGAAAACCTTATCTTTCTTTTGTAACATTATTAAAGAGAATCCCTTAAATAGAATTCCAGCAAAACACAGATATAAGTTGATGGAAATGTTATAAGGATTCTCCACCTTGAAACTCTTTGTTATTGTTTTGTTTTAAAGAAAAATAATGCAAGCAGGATAATTTTATTAAAATTTTTATGGAAATATGATGATGAAATATAAAAAGTAGTGGTCATTATAAATGTGATAATGATGGTATATTTTTTCCAAGAATCATTTAAAGTATCAATCAAAAAAAGTAATGTGTAAAAGCGTAGCCACTAAACACAAACTGAAGGGTGTTTTATTTGTGACGAGATTTGGCTGAGATAAAAGACTAGTGGAGATAAAAGCTGGCATAGTCCCAGGTTTATTTAGTACGTGTTGCGCTGCCCACATATCGAGGCAGGAGTCGGGGTGCTAGAGGTGGTTGAGGGTCTGTAGACTGTGTATTCTTCCAGGTAAACTTGCACTGAAGAGTGCCTTGTGACATTACTTTATTCTTAAGATGCATCTAGCTAAGGTCTCGGTGTAACCAGTTATCAGAGAAGGGCATGTGAATAGATGCAAGATGCTATTACCATTGTCCTTTCACTAAAGTGTGTTTCTGATTTTAGAGCAAGACCAATGAGCTTCTATTTGCCCAAAGGCTTAACAGGCAATTAAGTTTTAAACTGTAAAATGATCACTCTTGACTGATAGGTGTAGAAATTTAAGGTATGTTTTGTTTTTGTTTGTTTGCTTGCTTGTTTTGACTCAGATGTATGTCACTTGAAAGAACAAGTAACATGATAATTTTATAACATTGTAAAATTTGCCCCAGAGTCAACTCCAACTCATGGCAATCCCATGTGTGTTTTCCGTAGAATCTGGCTCCTTCGAACTTTCAGGGGCTCCTTTTCTTTTCATTTCATTTCTTTCTTTCTTTTTTTTTAGTGGAAGAGCAGACTTTTATTTTTCCGGAAGTATCTCTGACTACGCTTAGCACCTTGTAGGTAGTATTCATGCAAATTAACCATTTGCACCACCCAGGGAGTACATGTGGATATCTGAATTATCTTTGACTATCTGTTCTTATAGCCAATAATACTTTTATTAAGTGAAAAAAATCTTAGTTTATTTAGAAAATCAATATTCCCCCAAAATCATAGTTTGTTTAGGAAATCAATATTGCTAAAGTTATCTTTCTTTAACAAAAAAAGAACACAGTCATTTGAGGACACATTTAAAGGAAAAAATTCCTAAATAAAATTCTCTTCAACAACATTGTTTGCAGCACAATTGTTATGTAGGAGAGCTTCTGGTCTTAACTATTCCAAGTCCTCTTTCATGGCTATTTCTCAAATAGAAGTTAATACTTTCTTAAGCACCCTTTCCTCTTCTGAACCAGAGCCCTCTGAATGGCTTTGAGCTCCCCTGTTGTAGAGCAGCCCCAGGGCCCTCGTGGTTAGAGTGGGGCTGCTGACCTGTGAGTGAGCAGTTTCAAGACACCAGCCACTCTGCAGGAGAAGAACCAGGCCTTTACTCCTGTGTAGAGTGACAGTCTCCTAAGCACACGGGGGAGCTCTACCCTGTCCTGTAGTGTTACTTGGAGTCACAATGGGCTCGATGACACTGAGGGTGGATTTGGGGTCCTCTGTGATAGCTGCATCGCTATCACTTTTATGGGACACGCATTTGAGTTTCTTTTCTCCCTCCTCTCTTTCCTTTTTATTCTTGATTCAATGAACATGTATGAAATAGATCATACATGGTATGAATTATTCCAAGCCCAAAGGGAAGCACAGAGGGGATTGTAAGGAAAACCCCACATCGTTGCATCTATAAAATTCGTCGTTTGCCTCTGATGTCTGACTACATTGATTGTCCTGGTAAGCAGACCTGCACAGCCTGGAAGTTTTAAAAAGTTAACATCCCACATAGGAACCCTTGACCAGAGGCAATGGAAGCCTCGGACAAATGCTCCCCATTGCTCCTCTTCAGGCCAACACACACATCTGAGAAATAAATAGCAGAAAGACTCAGGAAATGGAAGCTTGATCAAGCCACTTTGGCCCCCAAAGTGACCAACAAGAGGATACACCTGGTGCTGGTTTTTCTTCATCTCCTGTTTCATTCTTGT